CCCCTACTTCAATTGATTTAACCCTATTCTCTCATATATATTATATAGCCACTCATAGTCCCCTACTTCAATTGATTTAACCCTATTCTCTCATATATAATATATTGCCACTCCATACTCCCCTACTTCAATTGATTTAACCCTATTCTCTCATATATATTATATTGTCACTCATACTCCCCCCTACTTTAATTGATTTAACCCTATTCTCTCATATATATTATATTGCCACTCATACTCACCTACTTCAATTGATTTAACCCTATTCTCTCATATATATCATTTTGCCACTCATACTCCCCCTACTTTAATTGATTTAACCCTATTCTCTCATATATATAATATAGTCACTCCTACTCCCCCCTACGTCAATTAGTTTAACCCTATTCTCTCATATATATAATGTAGTCACTCCTACTCCCCCTAAATCAATTGGTTTAACCCTATTCTCTCATATATATAATATAGTCACTCCTACTCCCCCCTACGCCAATTGATTTAACCCTATTCTTTCATATATATTATATAGCCACTCATACTCCCCTACTTCAATTGATTTAACCCTATTCTCTCATATATATTATATTGGCCTATCCTTCCCCCCCCCCCATCCCCCCCCTTTGCCAGAGTTAACCCTATTATCTCATATTTTCCATTTTTCCTTATTATCCTACTCTATTTATACAATATACATAAAATATAATCACTTTTTATCTAACCCTAATCTCTGATTAATTTTAATTCTTGATTTAACATGTTCTCTCGTAGGATTCTTGGTTCTTGATCAATTTGTTATTGATTTTTAATCTATATAATCTTGTAAATTGATCCTTGAGAGTTCATCTTTGATCAGGTTCTTACTCCGTCTTTCTTAATCTTTTAACATTTTGTAGCTTATGATATAATACTTTCCCTTTCACTTTTGCACCCAACCCCCCGGTTCCCACTCCCCAATCCCATCCTGTTCCTTTCTATGCTTCAACTATATTTCCTTGTATCCACCTTGTTCGCTATTAATTACACCTCCCCCTCTCTCATCTCCGCCTTGCTTGTACTTTTCATTATTATGTAAATCATGGTTTAATTATTATGTAGAAGCCAATAATAATTATTATTTTAAACCGGATACAAATCAGTTTGTTGTCAAGCTTCCTCGTACCTAGACCACCTTCCCTATCTCCATACCCCCCCCCCTTCCTCATCTAGCCTCATCAATCCTCACCTCTCCCTCCCCCTTCTTCTTATGATTTCCCCCTTGAATATCCGTCCTGAAAACCACCTGTTGCCAAAATGCATAAATTTCCCCTCTGGTGGCTTTTATCCGCAGATTAGCAGAATATCAGGCAACCATAGCTTTAGATCGGTATAGTCAAGTAGTTTCGGGTAGTTTTAGGCAGGTTTAGGCAGTTTCGGGTAGTTATTGGCAGGTTTAGTTAGTTTAGGGTAGTTTCAAGTAGTTTCAGGTAGCTTCAGGTAGTTTCGGGTATTTATAGGTAGGTTTAGGCAGTTTCGGGTAGTTTCAAGTAGTTTCAGGTAGCTTCAGGTAGTTTCGGGTAGTTATAGGTAGGTTTAAGTAGTTTCGGGTAGTTTCAAGTAGTTTCAGGTAGCTTCAGGTAGTTTCGGGTAGTTATAGGTAGGTTTAAGCAGTTTCGGGTAGTTTCAAGTAGTTTCAGGTAGCTTCAGGTAGTTTCGGGTAGTTATAGGTAGGTTTAAGCAGTTTCGGGTAGTTTCAAGTAGCTTCAGGTAGCTTCAGATAGTTTCTGGTAGTTTTAAGTAGTTTCAGGTAGCTTCAGGTAGTTTCGGGTAGTTATAGGTAGGTTTAGGCATTTTGGGTAGTTTCAAGTAGTTTCAGGTAGCTTCAGGTAGTTTCGGGTAGTTATAGGTAGGTTTAGGCAGTTAGTTTCAGGTAGTTTCAGGTAGATTCAGCTAGTTTCATGAAGTTTCAAGTAGTTTCAAGTAGTTCCATGTAGTTTCACGTAGTTTCAGATAGTTTCAGGTAGATTCAGGTAGTTCCAGGGGGTTTAAGGTAGTTTCGGGTAGTTTCAGGTAGTTTCAATTAGTTTCAGGTAGTTTCAGGTAGTTTCACGTAGTTTCACGAAAAGTTAACAGTCAATGCAGCCTTGTCATTTGTAAAAAAAAACTTTGTCCTTATAAAGCTTCATAAATAAAGAACGATCTTAAAATCATTTGTCAACTGTCCTGTTTATTGGGACACTCTGTATCTATAATAAATCTCCTCGTGTTAAAGGGTGTAAATTGAGGGGGAGGGGGGTAGGGGAAATAGGACCCCCCCCCTACTGTAAGTTGAGTGGGTATATCCTCCCCATACTGTAGGTTGAGGGAATATGTCCCCCCCCCCTGCTGTGCAGTTTAAACAAAATATAGGATGCATGCATCTCTTCTTTATCTCCAGTTTTCATAAAATTTTACAACTATATTTCTCACGTAAAAACATATGCAACAAAAGTACGCTCTACAGACCAACTTTATTAATGGCGAGAATTAGTTGAACTACGTTGACCTAGTTGAACAACTTCTTTTTGACTTGAATTCGCTGTTGCTTAAATCAAGTGGTAAAATATATTTTTAACATATATGCAATCTAGTATTGTTCAAGGTATGTTAAATATATTCTATTTATAATATAACACCTTAGTATTCTTTGAATCGTCGACAAACATGATGGAAAACATTGCACGCAAAATTGAAGTCGTATTTTTTAAAGCTTTAATCATGCGTTGGCAGAAAATCAAAACTATTGGCGCTACGAGGTCACAACATCGTACAAGGGATGTCGAACAAGTATTATTATTAACAATATGCAGTTCAATATGCAGTTCAATATGCAGTTCAATATGCAGTTCAATATGCAGTTCAATATGCAGTTCAATATGCAGTTCAATATGCAGTTTGTTATTATCAACCTTCAATATGCAGTTCGATCTTTGCAAATAATATACAGGCAGCCGAATGCGGCGAGTTTAAACATGACTGGTTCAGCTGGACATTTAATAAGTGTTTCGAGATTTGAGGCGACGCTCAATTGGAACCGATTTTTAGCGGTTCAGTGACGCGGTTTAAATTCTTTAAGTTCGGCATAGGGTTACCTACTGATGTATAAATGCCCTACTCCAACAAAGTGTTTTAGATCTGTACCACTCCAAGAACAACTCAATCTTGAACTCCAGGTTCTCCAATAACACCTTGGTCAGTATCAATCCTGATACCTGCAGTATCTGTATTCTTAATTATCTGTCTTACGAGTCTTACAAGATATAACTCTATCCAGAACTCAAGGTTCCTCAGTAATACCATAGTCAATATCAATCCAGATACGACTCAATCTGTATTCTCAGGTATCTGTCTTACAAGATACAACTCAATCAGAAACTCAAAGTTCACACGAATACCATAGTCAATATCAATCCGGATAAGACTCAGTCTGTATTCTCAAGTATATGTCATACAAGATACAACTCAATCAGGAACTCAAGGTTCCTCAGTAATACCATAGTCAATATCAATCCGTATACGACTCAGTCTGTATTCTCAAGTATATGTCTTACAAGATACAACTCAATCAGGAACTCAAGGTTCACACGAATACCATAGTCAATATCAATTCGGATAAGACTCAGTCTGTATTCTCAGGTATCTGTCTTACAAGATACAACTCAAGATAATTCCCAATCTAAATCTATCTAACAAGAAAGTGATTCAGTACGCTTCTTGTTCATTAACCAAGAAGCAATTACTCTCACACTGTATTCAAAGCAGAGTATTATTCCAACCGATGTTTATTTTGATTTCTATGGCACAGGTTAAGTTAATGAATGTATTAACAAGTTTTACGTCCATATATACAACTGTATTTAGGCTAATCACAATAAAGGTTCGACATAGGTATTTACAGGCGCATTCAGATTTACAGACAATGTACAGTATAATATATCTAGGTGTATTTAGGTTTATAAATATGGGATTTGCTACGGTATTTATTACACTGATACAGTTTAAAGAACAGGTAACCATCAATGTTCTGCAAGAATGAAGTCTGGCAAGATTCCGTACAGTCGTCTTTGAAGTCTTTTTTAAGAGTCTAACCTTGAGCATCAACACTCTAGACAGACTCTACTCTACTCTACTCTACATTCTAAACTCTACACTCTACACTCTACACTCTACACTCTACACTCTACATTCTAAACTCTACACTCTACACTCTACACTCTACACTCAGGGAGGTGGAAGGGTTATTATACAAATGGATTTACAATGATCATTGAGAAGAAAGAATAAGAAAAAAATACAAAACTGAACAATGGAAAAATGAAAGCTCAGAATTTGAAATAAAAAGATAATAGAAAATGCACAGAAAAGGAAGCCAGGAAGCAGAAAGGAAGAAAAGGAAGTTAGGAGGCAGAAAGGAAGAAAAGGAAGCCAGGAGGTAGAAAGGAAGAAAAGGAAGTTAGGAGGCAGAAAGGAAGAAAAGGAAGCCAGGAGGTAGAAAGGAAGAAAAGGAAGCCAGGAGGTAAAAAGGAAGAAAAGGAAGCCAGGAGGTAGAAAGGATGAAAAGGAAGCCAGGAGGCAGAAAGGAAGAAAAGGAAGCTAGGAGTCAGAAAGGAAGAAAAGGAAGCGAGGAGGCAGAAAGGAAGAAAAGGAAGCCAGGAGGCAGAAAAGTAAGAAAAGGAAGCCGGGAGGTAGAAAGGAAGAAAAGGAAGCCAGGAGTCAGAAAGGAAGAAAAGGAAGCCAGGAGGCAGAAAAGAAGAAAAGGAAGCCAGGAGGTAGAAAAAAAGGAAACCAGGAGGTAGAAGGGAAGAAAAGGAAGCCAGGAGGCAGAAAGGAAGAAAAGGAAACAAAAGAATAAAAATCAAAATAAAATGTTGTGGCATAATCTAATCTGCACTTTTCCATATGAATCAGTTTTAAACCTACTCAAAACAGTTCTCTCTCTCTCTCTCTCTCTCTCTATATATATATGGTGGATCAAAAAAGTTTGAAGGTTGAATTTGGGCTCCATGGTTTAGAAAATGACTTTGGCTTAGGAAAATTTAAACATACTCTTCTTCCTTGTTTACTAAATGATATTCGTGCAAAGTGAATATGTGTAAACATGAAAATAGACTGTCCAGTAAACTTATAGCACAGCAACCTGGCTTTAAAAAAAAACAAGAAAAAGCCAGAAGGGTGTTGGCAAGGATCTAGACGTAGGATTTACAAAGGCTCAACGGTTTTGGGCTAAATATATAAGGGAAGGGATCAGAAAAAGTTTGAAACGTCCAGTTTGGAAAACAGTGTTATAGCAGGTTTGAGAAAATCACAAATATCTTGGAAAATAAAGGTAGTCCTCAAAATTTAGCCTATACATTTTAAACTAGGGTCTGAATAGACACTCATGGATAGCTTTAACTTACCCGCCAACTTTTGACGTAGGTCTAGAATTAATAGTTTTAGAGCATGTTCAGTAACACGAAATTAGACTTTTGTAGCACACTATAAATTTTTAAAATGGCCAAAATCAAGCCAAAAAAATTTCCAAAAAAACTTTTGGTGGCTTTTCATGACCTAAATAACTAGAATTTTAAGTTTGAGAAGAATCTATTTTTTTTTGTTAAATGGTGTATTCCTTCTCCATGAATGACCCGGATGTATAATGGACTAGATGGTATCCAGGTTAGAGGATATATAATGGACTAGATGGTATCCAGGTTAGAGGATATATAATGGACTAGATGGTATCCAGGTTAGAGGGTATATAATTGACTAAATAGAAGAGCAGACCCTATGTAAAGAGGAGTATCAAAATGTCAATTCTTATCATGAAATCTTAATTGGAACTAACTTCTTCATCTACATTCCACACCATGCAGAGTAAACACATTTCTCACAATTCACACACACCTTCTATACATTATACACGCTTTCTCACACTTCACACACACACCTACTATACAGTATACACGCTTTCTCACACTTCACACACACACCTACTATACAGTATACACGCTTTCTCAGTCTTCACGCACACACCTTCAAAACATTATACACCCTTCCTCACACTTCACACACACTCCCACACCTTCTATACATTATACACGCTTTCTCACACTTCCCACACACCCTCTATACATTTTAGATGCTTTCTTATACTTCACACACACATTCTATACATTATACACGCTTTCTCATACTTCACCCCACGTGCACTGTATACTATAGATAATAAGTTTAGATTAGCGTAAATACCCCACTATATACTATATATATAATAAGTTTAGAATAGCGTGTATACCCCACTGTATACTATATATAAAATAAGTTTAGATTAGTGTATATACCTCACTGTATACTATATATAATAAGTTTAGATTAGTGTGTATACCCCACTATATACTATATATATATAATAAGTTTAGATTAGTGTATATACCCCACTGTATACTATATATATAATAAGTTTAGATTAGTGTATATACCCCACTATATACTATATATATAATAAGTTTAGATTAGTGTGTATACACCACTGTATACTATATATATATAATAAGTTTAGATTTGTGTGTATACCCCACTGTATACTATAGATAATAAGCTTTGATTAGCGTGTATATCCCACTGTATACTGTATATATAATAAGTTTAGATTAGTGTGCATACCCTACTGTATGCTAGAGATAATAAGTTTAGATTAGTGTATATACCCCTCTATATACTATATATATAATAAGTTTAGAATAGCGTGTATACCCAACTGTATACTATATATATAATAAGTTTAGTTTAGTGTATATACCCCACTGTATACTATATATATAATAAGTTTAGATTATTGTGTATACCCCACTATATACTATATATATAATAAGTTTAGATTAGTGTGTATACCCCAGTGTATACTGAAGATAATAAGTTTAGATTAGTGTTTATACCCCACTGTATACTATAAATATAATAAGTTTAGATTAGCGTGTATACCCCACTATAAACTATATATATAATAAGTTTAGATTAGTGTATATACCCCACTATATACTAGAGATAATAAGTTTAGATTAGCGTGTATACCCCACTATATACTATATATATAAT